TTGTCTGAAGGGAGAGAACCTTAACTGAGGTTCTAATTCTTAACTAGTGATTGCTGAGGCCAGTCTAAACCATTGTGGGTGGTGCCATCCCTGGGCTGCTAGTCCTTGGTTCTATAAAAAAGCAGGCTGAGCAAGCCAGTAAGCAGCACCTCTCGATGGCCTCTGCATCAGCTCCTGCCTCCAGGTTCCTGACATTTGACTTCCTGACTTCCTTAGATGATGAACTGTGATGTGGTAGCATAAGCCCAATAGACCCTTTCCTCCCCAAGCTGCTTTGGCCAATGGTGTTTCATTAGAGCAATGGTAGCCCTAACTAAGACAGATATTTCCATTTCTCCTGGAGAAACGGTCCTAAGCAACTGGAGTACTGAACATAGAAGGCGCCTATGGATTACCTAGTGAAATCCCCACCCCCCTTTTAATTCATGGAGGCAAAGCATTTTAACCAGTGTTTCTCCTGTTCACTCATTCTGGCTGTTCTTTCATATGTTGTTTCTAGTTTAGTTTGCTAACCAGACCAGCCATCACATCCTAGCATTGTTTCTCCTCTGCCTTTGGGCAAACATCTCCCCACTGGCATCTGCATTTACATGGATTTTAATGTACGTCAATGTTTTGTTGGCTTTGTCACAGGAAAATAATAAATTCTCGTATACTTGCCCCTTCAAAGGAAGAAGCGATGCCTATTCATCTCTGCATCTTAGGCCTAGGGTCACACTTGACACTTGGATGTTTACAATTTTGGATATTGTTGAAATAAACCAATAGGGGGAAATAATTGCATTTGTTAGTTGACATTTTATGATTTTGGAATCATAGTGCTATTAAGGACCTCTGAGATCTAATCTGGCACATAGCTCTTTAAACAGGAAAACACTACCCTTGGCACAGACTTTTATGCGTAAAATAATCTCCTGTATTCTTTTAGACTGGCTCTCAAGGTGTCCCAGGGTAGGCTTGAACTCACTTTGTAGCCAAAGATGACTTTGGACACCTGCTCCTCCTGCCTCAACTTTCCATATTCTAGGACCAAATAAAGGCATTCCCTGTCATACTTTAAACTCTCTTAAGCTTAAATATTGAAAATGTTTTTAGGACAAGGTCTTGATGTTATCCAGGCTGGCTTGGCATGGTTTGGGCAGACAGGTTCTTTGTGTTATCCAGGCAGGTGTGGTTTACAGTTGAACTTGGGCTCAAGCAGTTCTGCCTCAGCCCTCTGAATGTCCAGAATGGCGGGCACATGAAACCATGCCCAGCTTATGAGCCGTTCAACATTTTCTGTATTCATGCATCTGTTTGCTTGAAATGGTCTATATGACAGCCCTGGCTAACCCGTCACTCTTTATATAGACCAGGCTGGCCTCAAACTCTGGATCCTCTTGCCTCAGTCTCCCTTATTCTATTTTTACAGATGTGCATAGCTACTTCTTGCCTTATACTACTTTTTGATCAGCCTCCCCCCTTTAGTTTTTTGAGACAGGGTTTCTCTGTATTGCTTTGGAGCCTGTCCTAGAACTCGCTCTGTAGACTAGCCCGGCCTCAAACAGAGATCCTCCTGCCTCTGCCTCCTGAGTGCTGGGATTAAAGGTGTTCACCACCAACGCCCAGCCCTTCCTCTCCCCCATTTTATTATTATTATTATTGTTGTTATTGCTGTTATTATTATTATTATGAGTTTTTTGAAACATGGTTTCTTTGTGTTGTCCTGGCTGTCCTGGAACTCATTTTGTAGACCAGGTTGGCCTCAAACTCAGAGATTTCTGTGCTGCCTGGTCCTGTAGTCATTTAGTCCCAAATAAACTTATAGAGGCTTATATTAATTATAAACTGTTTGGCCTATGGCCTAGTCTTCTTTCTGGCTTGCTCTCTCTTAACTATTAGCCTGTGTATTAAGCTGTGTATCTCCACATGGTCTTGGCTTACCGGTGATGCCTGGACCTCTTTCTTCCCTGGCAATTTACTCCTTGGGTTTCTCTTCCCAGAATTCTCCTAGTTTAGTAGCCACACCTGTACTTCCTGCCTGGCTGCATCCTGCCTGTCCATTCTGAAGCAGCTGTATTCATCAGGTAATAAGAGAAACATATATTCACAGCATACAGAAGGACGTCCCCCATAAGAGATCTGCCTATCTATGCCTTCTGACGGCTGGGCAACTTTCCTCATTTTAATGTGCTGGTGTTTTTAGCTTTTCCTCCTATAGTGGACATACACACCTCTTTTACCTTTCAATATGGTTCAGAATCTAACTGGTTTTGTAAGTGCCTATATGTACCATGACCTAAGCCATTCTTCAAACTATAGAATAGGGAGTCTGGAAAAAATAGCTTTTAGTTTTCTAGGTTGAGCATCTCAGGAAGTTAGGATGGCTTCCGAGTGAACTACAGCACTCACCACAAGCCCTGACTAAAATTTCCTGGCTTTAAAAGCATCTCAATTGTCACTGTCACTCTGTGTCACTCCCGAGTTCTGTGGTGAGCACATTGCTGTTATAACCTTTCTTAGCTTAGCTTTGTCTTAGCAGAGAGCCAGTAATTACCATGTAAGCATGGTTTTGATGGCAGTTTGATGCACCTGGTCGTCTCCCCAGGGTATGGCGATGGCTCTTCTCAGTCTTGCCCTCAGCTCAGGTGCTGGCAAGGAGACAAACCCCTCCAGACAGATACCCAGGAACAGAAATGATCTGTGCCACCATGCTGGCATGTCTCCTAATTCCTAGAGCATTAACATAAAACTTTTGTTCTGAAAGTGAGATGCAAACCCTCCATGATCTGGTCTTTCTGCCTTTCTCTTTTGTTCCTTACACTATCCTACCAATATTATTCTTTTTTTTAAAAAATTATTTATATATATGAGTGCTTTGTCTGCATGCTCCTCTGCTCACCAGAGGAGGCCATTGGATCCCATTACACATGGTTGCGAGCCACCATGTGGTTGCTGGGAACTGAACTCAGGACCTCCGGAAGAACAGCCAGTGCTCTTAACCGCTGAGCCATCTCTCCAGCCCCTACCAATAGTTATTCTAAGGCAGGCAATTCTTACTCCATATATGGCATTTCTTCATGCATTTGAGCCTCTATTAGTAAGACCAGAGAAAATAAGAGCCTGGGCTTTGAAAATCAAGCTGGTGGCCTTGAAGCTCCACTAATGTCACAGGGCCACTGTGTAGCAGTGCCTGGCATAGAAAACGGGTCACACGCGCAAGCTTTCTACATGTGAGGCAGCAGAGTGAAGAAGGGGATGCGCTGCCTCTGGAACCAGTCAGGCTCGTTTGTACGGCTCGCACCTATCACTTCCTAGCTCTGAATCCATGGGCCATCCCTCAACCAGGCACCGCATTAGTGGTCTGTAAACAGCTCTCTCAGGAGTCGCAAGCATTGGTGATAGAGCGTTAAGGTGTTCATCGCAGATGTGGTAGCTCCCCAGCAAGCGGGAGTTCTTCCCTTCTGTTATTTCTGCCAAATCTTTCTAGTAGTGCCAAACATTGGTTGCATGTGGGCTCAGCTTCGGCGTTGTTTGAACATTTTTAAAATTTTTATTAGTAGGAACTCTTTCTTTCTTCATTGAGCTAACTAATTGGCACCCTTTACTTTGGATTTATCTCATCTTTGTGTTCATCCGGCTGCTGTATCTCAAGGTGGAGGCAGAAGAAACAGGTTCAGGACCAACAGGCTCTCCTGTTGCGTAGACACACTCAGGATTGAAAGAAATTTTTCCCAGATGGCCCCTCTTGTCATAGAGCTTCATTGCCCCACTCTGTAAGTGTGATGCCGTCCCTGCCTTCCCTTAACCAGATACAGCTTGTCTCTGGTATGACAGACTTGTACATCTCTTTAGTCCAAGGGTACCATGTCAAGGAGCGTATTTTTTGACAGTTAGGTACATGTTGTCTGTTTGAATCCTATATTCAGAGGACAAATATAATAGATCATGAATAAAATGCGGTTATTAAAGAAACCTTACAGGTAATTTCCAGATTGCCTATACTTACTGAGTTAAACTTGCCATGTGGGAGTTGAGCTCTAAGGTGGTTTAGACTGTAGACTGATAGGTGTCTTCAGTCTGTTGTCTATGCATTAAATACCTTAGGATGGGCAATATACTGGACTCTTGAGATGTGATATATATGACATATATAACACATATTTTTAGCATTGTAACAGCTCTTTACTGGGGCACTTAGTGATCCATATGAAAGAGTTTTATCCCGTCTGCCACTTGGCTGAGCATCTGTAAATTACATGAGTGCTTGATCAGTTCACTGCCGGTACCCTGAAATAAACAAATAGTGTGAAAAAGGGACCTGATCCTTAGATTTAAAGGACAAAATCAGAGAAGATATTGTCAATGTACCACTAATTATTATGGAAATAAATGACCTAAAAATTTTTAACGATTTCACCCAAAGCCAGAGAGCTGTTTACTGACAAACTAGCAGTCACACTCAAGACTTGTGGTGGTTGTATATTAACTAGCTACTTTTAGGTAAAGCTGGAAACCTTCAGTGCTTGCCGAGGGCAGCTCAGGGTGCTAGTCTCTCTCACTTTTTTGTCGCTGTGAAGAACGGTGCTGGAATTGTCTTAAATGAAGACCATATTGTGGTTAATTGTTCCCTCTCAAGAAAGAGAAATTGTTAGCTTTCATGGCTCCTGGGGCTAAAAAACAATAGCATTATTATTTTTCTTTCTTTCTTTCCTTTACTCTCACCCAGTAGCCCACCTCCTCCAGTGGAGGGTAACATGGCTTCAGAGAAGCCAGGTGTGCATTTTTCTCTAATTTGAAAGAACCACAGAGGTAAGATTACACCAATAGGATTTCTGCCATGGCATAAATTCCTGGTATGGAACCCTTCCATGGATCCCCTGGCTAGAGGACAGGGGATTTCCAAGATTCTAAAAGGGAAGAGAGATGATGATTGAGAAGATGAAATGTGATATCGGGTCCTCCTAGGACAGTGAATTTCTGTATTTTAAACTTAATTTTTTTTATACTTTATATTACAGACCTTTTCAGAGGCAATCAGATTTAATGTGGACTATGGGGTTTTTGAAGTGGTTAACAATGCACCCCAACTTCTGGAAAAGCAACTGAAAAGAATTCTGCAAAGTCACCAACCTCGAAATCCCATCTATGATGTGATAAGGAAAGGGAAAAGTGATGCTAAACCTCCTCAGAAGAGTGCCCCTTGTGAAGATGAGGCCATTAATGTCACCTACACTATCATGGTAAGCCAGTGTTTGAGTCTCTGTCTTGCAAGATCAAGAAAGCATTTGGTGAGCCCGAGAGGTGGCTCAGCAGTTAGGAGCACTGGCTGCCCTTCCAGAGGGCCTGGCCCCGGTTCCCAACACCCACATGTGGATCTCAGCTCCAGGGAATCTGATGCCCTCTTCTGGCTTCTGTGGCACCAGGCATGCACGCAGTACACACACATACATGCCGGGAAAGCACTCATACACAGAAAATAAAAATAAAACACTCATACACAGACAATACAAAATAATATATGTTTTTAAAGAAAGCACTTGGTGAAATTGACACGGAGTTTTTGAAGTACAGTCACATTTATTGGCGCATTATAGTTACACACAGTGTCATCTATTCACACAAAATGGCCACTTTAGCTGTTTTGTTGATTTTTATCAACCAATATAAGAATGGTTATGTGATTCGCTTGGATATATATAATGTCAAGTGCATTTATGATAGTATAGCTATGCATATTCTTTATAGTTTAGTTTCCTTCTAGGAAATGTGTGTATAAAGGAAACTTATTTCTTCTGGGGTTTTAACCAATCCTACTTACATTTGGGAACTGAGATGTCCCGCAGTATCTATGCCTGTGACTGTGACCTCCCAGCTTTCAGTTCTGTTACCAGCTGCTGTTTCTGTCTCTTCTGCTTTAGGTCAGCAAACCTATATCCAAACCAGCTAAACCCACTATCTGTACTTCTTTGAAAAAGTCACATGATGAACCTTGTTCCCACCGTCAGTCACATTTCCACAAACTACACCTTAGGCTTATTGTGCAGATCAGTGACAACAAATGTGATTATTTTAAAATGCTATTTCAGGCTAGGTACAAAGGCTGAAAAACACACCTGCTCATAGCTTCAGACAGCTCTACTCCAATTCTCCTGCTACTAATTCAGACATATTTCTCTTCTTTTAACTTCTATTATAGCAAATGCTGATGATAATTACATTAAAGCATTGTTTTGAAGGTAGACCAGATAACATTTAATTATGTAAATATATTATCTAGAGTTTTCTAACTAGGTATACAAATATTTAGTAGCAACAATAACTAATAACACATCACTAATTACTTTAAATTTATGTAGCTTAACCATCCTAATTAAAAATCACAGTCAGATGGGATTAAAAAAGAAGACCCAATTATTTGCTGTCTAAAAGAAACCAACCTTAAGTATCAAATAAACATATTAGAAGTAAAGTATATGACATGCAATTGCTAATTAAAAGAAAGCTAGGATGATTATATCAGTACCAAAGTAGACTTCAGAACAAGGACTCCTGCTGTGGATAAAGAGGATGTTTCACACTATGTCAGTTCATAGGAAATACAACCAGGTTTAATATGTGTGTGCCTAACCACAGTGCTTCAGAATACATGATAAGGGCTAATCAAACATAAGAAGGAAGTAGCCAAAACCGTAGTAAGGCTTGAGATGAAAACATTGCTGTTATCATCAGTAAACACAGTGGATCCTAAGGGCATGACAATTCTGTGTCTCCACTAGCAGTGAAGCCAACCTGTCCATGCTAATAGACACTTCACCTCCCAAAGCCACGGTGCATGCTCCTTACTGAATACACTTGGAGGGACAATCAAGGCAGATGTTATTCTGGCACCAAAGTTATAATAACATATGAAATTATGCAAAATATATAACTGATCACCCTAGATTAAACTACCAGTCAATAACAAAAATATGGAGAAAATCTCCAAATACTGAAATAACTAGGCAACACACGTCTAAATAACCCATAAGTCAAAAGATAAGTCTATAAGTAAATAAGAAACCAAACTGTCACAATTTGGGATGCAACTGAATTAGTCGTTAGAAGGAGGTTTGTACAATTAATAGGAAATAAAAATAAAAACAAAAATTCCAAGCATTGCTGTCAGTGAACTGTCTTCTATCATGGGAATCAAGAAAGAGAAAAGTTAACTTAGACCCATTAAAAAAAGAAATAGCACAGTCATGAACTTCTGAGCCACAGGCTTGCCTTACCATGCGTGCCTGTGACTGCAGCCATGCACCACCATGCACGTGCCTGTGACTGCAGCCATGCACCACCATGCACGTGCCTGTGCTGGGGACTGAACCCAGGCTTTTGTGCATTCTAGTTAAACACTCTACAAACTATTGCAATAGCAACTCGAAAATAACTTTCTCTTCGTGTTTAATAGTGTCTCAACCGCGAACAAGGTATTAAGTGGATCAAGAGAGAAAGACTTCCGGCATTTCTGGAAAGTGATTGCTACTTTGAATACAGGTATCGTGCTGCCACGTACCTGTGTGTGTGTGTGTGTGTTTAAATGCTTCTTTACTTCATATAAAGTAATTTTTATGATATTCATTAGTGTTTGGATTCTATCTGCCATAGACTAGGAATGATAAAAACATTGGCAAAAACCATACAACTTTTCTAAAAAAATTTGACGGTTTTATCTCTTTGATCATTTTACCTTAAAAACTTGCTGTCACTCATAGTGGTGTCTATGTGAACACAAAGGAAATGTTAGTATAACACTAAAAACAGAATGTGGGGGACTAGAGAGATGTCTCAGCAGTTAAGAGCACATGTTTCTGCAGAGGACATGGGTTTGGTTCCCAGCACCCACATGGTGGCTCACAACCATCCCTGACTGACATTTCAGGGAATTGGATGCCCTCTCATGAACTCCATGGGTACCAGGCATTCACGTGGTATGTTCATATATGAAGGCAAATTTGAAAATAAATAGGTCTTTAAAAACATTATAAAACACAAAACATCTGTGTGGGGCTGAAGGTTCTCTTCTAAAGTATAAACATGGAAGCTTTTTACCAAAATTTGACTAAAATTTGAACTTTGCTTAGAAAAATAATTTTAAATAAAATACAAATGAAAATAGCATACTTCTGTGAGTAAGTTTTTGTTAGTTTGTGATTTCTATAATCAAGGTTAGCCAAGTTGATCTCACAAGCAACATGGAGCAGCTCAGGCATGAATTTCATAGTAGGAACAAACTTTTCCCCCTGGATCCTGAGAAAACAGCCCACTCCACCTCCTCCTTCCACCGAAGAGGACAATCTCTTAATCATGAAGAAGTTCTACATTTCTCTCGGCCAGGTGAGATGACGGTTTTCATGACTTCACACCAATAAAACCTTTTGTTTCAGTGTCAAGAGAAATTGATTTCAAACCACTGCCCCCAAGCAGGGTAGGTTTCTTATGGGTTTATGCTGACTCATTTGATATGCAGACCTTTCCTTATGTATGGGAAGTAGCAAATGAGATTGATATACCTGTTCCCTATCACCTAGGAAACAAGGGCATGTACACTGTATTCTGAATTTGTTATTATAGCAGTCCAATATAATGAGCATTGTCTAGATAAAACTTAGTTATAAAAATGCATTGTTATTTAATTGTTCTCAGACAGATTTTTCTTCTGTTATTGCTTAAGTGTGGGATCATTGTGAGTGGTTTAAATAGATGCAACCTAGAATCAATTGTTTTTTAGATTATTCATAATATAATGAGATTTAGCATTTTTTCCCTCCAATTACCAGATCTTTCCTCTTACAATACACCCAGGACACACAAGTCTATGTGAAATCTGGACTGGCAGGCTTGTGGCCTGTTAAGGTAGATTCTTGGCCTGGCAGGTCCCGCCACCCTTGAGCTCACAAATAAACATAGGGATGCTATATTAATTATAAAACTGTTGGCCGATGGCTAGGGCTTCTTATTGGCTAGCTCTGTCTTAATTATTAACCCATTTCTATCAATCTATGTATTGCCACGAGGCTGTGGCTTACCTGGTAATGCCCGTCATGGTGTTACTCCTTAACAGCATCATGACTCTGTCAGGGATCCTGCCTACCTTTCCCAGAATTCTCCTCAAGTTCTAGTCCCCCCCATCTTCCTGCCTCATTGGCCAAACAGTGTTTTATTCATCAACCAATAAGAGAAACATATACAGAAGGACATCCCCATCAGTGGCCCATGAGCACTATTGTCTTATTCTTTGTCTATGTCAGACATTGCCAATCAGTTGTGGCCATTTTTTCTGCTGAGCTAGAGTTAGGCTTTTCAATTTTTATCAACGGAGTGCTCTAGACCTATAGAGATATCAGATGGAGCTGGTGGTGCATGCCTTTAATCCTAGTACTGGAGAGGCAGAGGCAGGAGAATCTCTGTGAGTTCAAGGCCAGCCTGGTCTACAGAGTGAGTTTCAGGACAAGTCAAGGCTACACAGAGAAACCCTGTCTTAGAAAACAAAAACAGAAAGACAAAAAGAAGCCGGCTATGCCTTCTGTGCTGCAATAGCTAGGTCTATGTTATTTGAATGCACATGTTTCATTTCATTGTTTCACACCTAGTTATTCTTGGAGTCTGGGCATTCCTATCCAGCATATTTACCAAGTGTGGGGAAATACACCAGCTACCTCACGTTTGATGATCTGTTAAGGACTCACGTTATGTTTTACTTATTCTCAGTATATTATAGAAATGTCAGAGGTGCCATGAAATGTCTGTTGGTAGAGCCAATAAACCTCCAAGGGCAAGTCACGTGGACAGCGAGAATCTGGGCTGGTGTTCAGTTCTCTCTCTTACAACTTCAACTGTAAATTATCTGCCATAATTTTTGAATTTTAAGAATTTAAATGTCCTTTTTTCCCCAGACTATTTAAACCAGACTATAGATAGAAATTATTAATGACCATTTGTGATATTTCTTTGAGTCTTCACTTGTGTCATTGAAACACAAACAATTGACCCATTTTTTTGTTTGTTTGTTTGTTTTTCGAGACAGGGTTTCACTGTGTAGCTTTGTAGACCAGGCTGGCCTTGAACTCACAAAGATGTGCCAGCTTCTGCCTCTGTAGTGCTGGGATTAAAGGTATGAGTTACTGGTGCCTGAATCGACCCATTTCTTAAAAGCACCAAGTGGGATAATTAGGCCTACTGCTCACTTCTTCCTCCCTTTTAACAAATGGGATAGAGTAGTGGCTCAAGTTAATGTTGAATGAATTTATAATTACCAATGACAAATGACTTGGATATAAGCTAGGCATAGTAGCACACTTGTATCCTACTACTTGGGATGCTGAGGTAAGAGGATCTCAAGTTGAGTGTGAGGCCAGCCTGGGCTATCTCGTTAGTTTGAGACTGTCCAGAGCAATATATAGAGATCCACTATTGCACAAAACCTGTCAATAAATACATGAAGGCAACAACAGCACTGTACTAGAGTCTTCATAGTTTATACACACAATGGCACAGTGGACACACAAGTTTCCCCTCATTTCCTTCTCATCCGTTGTCTTGCTGTATGGCCTGATTTGCCCTGTGGAACGTGTATAATAGACAAGGGATCCCAGCTCCTCCATGTGAGCCCTGCCTCTCCCGTGTGTGGCAGACTGGAAAAAGGAGAAACGAGAGGGATCCTGGGCAGCCCCTCTCCTCCCTGAGATCTTCCAGAAAAATCAGGAGAGAATGCGGTAGGCAGCAGAGCAGAGGAGTGAGAGGTGGCGGGCACAGGTGTTTACCTGTCCAAATATAAAAAAGAATGAACTGATATTTATTTCTTCCCCAACCTATCCTTAAGGGTTTCTTTTTTATTCCTCTTTGTGTGCATGTTTGTCTGTGTGTATGTTTGCCGTGGAGTTGAGTTCAGGTGGTTATGAGCCGCTCTGTGTGCTGGGAACTGAATTTGGGTCTCTGTAAGAAGAGCAAGTGCTGGTCACTGCAGAGCCAACCCTCCAGCCGCCATCGTCTTATCTAGTGAATTTTTAGTACAATTTTCTTTTTAGAAAAATCTTTCTTCAGACATCACACTCCACAAATTGAATTATAAAGGTTTTTTTTTTTTTTTTTTTTTTTTTTTCAGAGTTTCTGCTGGCAGAATCCTAGTAGGGTAATTGCTAAACTGTTTCTTTCCAGGCTTCCTATACTCAAACAAAAGATTGGTTTACATTGGCAAAGCAAAGTCAGAAGACAGTGACGACCTTTTCGTTGCCCTGCTGTGTAACCCACCACAAAATTGCGTCACCAGCTATTTCTTCAGCCTCTGGTAAGCAACGACAAGGCCCCTTGTCTGCTGCAGTCATGCAGCTCAGAGTTCAGGGACTGGGGAGGAAAAGCTCACCACCACCACCACCACCACGACCACCACCACCACCACCACCACCACCACCACCACCACCACCACGACCACCACCACCACCACCACCACCACCATCACCACGACCACCACCACCACCACCACCACGACCACCACCACCACCACCACCACCACCACCACCACGACCACCACCACCACCACCACCACCACCACCACGACCACCACCACCACCACCACCACCACCATCACCACGACCACCACCACCACCACCACCACCACCACGACCACCACCACCACCACCACCACCACCACCACCATCACCACCACCACCACCACCACCACCACCACCACGACCACCACCACCACCACCACCACCACCACCACCACGACCACCACCACCACCACCACCACCACCACCACCACCACCACGACCACCACCACCACCACGACCACCACCACCACCACCACCACCATCACCACCACCACCACCACCACCACCACCATCACCATCACCACCACCACCACGACGCAGCCCCTGCCTGCCTTCCACTTCCTGCTGGGTTTTGTGTGTGTGTGTGTGTGTGTGTGTGTGTGTGTGTGTGTGTGGCTGTTTAGTTTGGCTTTTGTTATTGTGTGTTGGTTTTGAAGCCCAGTGCCCTTGTGTAGCCCAGGCTGGTTTCAGACTCAGTCCTGCTGCTTCAGCCTCCCAGGCGCTGGGGTTGCAGCTGTATGCCTGGGTCACTTCTACTACTTCAAGCCGGACAGGATAAAATGGAGGCCATTCAGAAGGGAATTCTGAAATTTACTAGTCATGTCATTTATGTTTGCTGTGACAGGGTCACACTGTGTAGTCCAGGCTAATTGCAGACTCGCTCCATAGCTCTGGCTGGCTTCGTGAGCACAGTGATTCTTCCTGCCTCACCCTCCTCTGTGTTGGCGTGGCTGGCCTTTCGCAGCATGCACAGCTCTTAGCTGCGTGGTCCTTGTGGTAACTCACTCCACTTGGAACCTTGTGAGTCGAGTGCTTGCATCCCTTCGCAGGTGTACAGACTCGGGGTGGGGGTGGGGTGGAGTTGTTATACTCATTTTCAATACAAAATCATAATGAAATGCTTTTAGTTCATGGAGATTTCAAATCTGGTGACAGAAAGTGGTCACCGAGGGTGGGCACATTGATGACAATCACCTGAGCTGTGGAGTGGGCAGAATAGTACGAGTTGAACATTCATATTTCCCCGAATTCTGAGAGAGAAAACAAGAACTAAAACTGTATTTTTTGTGTGATCTTTTATAAGTCCCTACATTGTCATTTTAATGATAACAACTAGATGCATGAGAGTTATTAAAGCCTTTTTATAAATATTTAGTTCAAGCTGAGCAGTAGTGGTGCACACCTTTAATGCCAGCACTGGGGAGGCCGAGGCAGGTGGATCTCTGTGAATTTGAGGCCAGCCTGGTCTACAGAGTTAAACAGAGAAACCCTGTTTCGAAAGAAACAAAGAAAGAAATATTTAGTCTATCTGCAGGAGGGCAAAATTCATTCCTGTTGGCAGTTTCTCCTCATGGCCTCCCAACAAGGTTTGAGAACCCTTTTGAAGTTACCAGTCCACGTGTTTGCCCATTTGCCATTCCGTTTACTACAGCACCCATTTAACTCCAGAAGAGCGTGTTTCACAGCTAACCTATTAGCCTTTTGTAATTTAATTCAGAGAGTGTTATCTTCAACGATTCAGTGCACCCCAGGACAATAAAGAGCCCATCTAAAACCAGTAAAATGGCCCCAGAACTGGAAGAAGAAGAAGAAGGGTCCGTCTCAGTAAAAGACACTCCTTCCCAAGCTCTTCTGAGAATATACCTGGAGAGGAAAGACGTGCAGGACAAGAATCAGACTCTGCACTTCGTATCAGTTGATGCATTTCTCAATGCCTATGTAATCTTTATCTTGAGAGAAGCCGTTGAGCACATCACCGGCCATTCCTTTACTGATGCCCCGGGCTACATCAACTTCTATAACGTCTCCCAGGTGGTATTTGATAAAGTGGAGCCTGTGCCTACCAAGAAGGTCGTAAGTCCATCCCAAATTGAAACAGTACAGGACATCTCAGAAGAGAAATTGGAAAAAATAAGCTTAAGTTCAAAGAGCGAAAGCACTGGACCGGAGAGCAGGGCCGACTGGTGTATTTCTCACAGAACCTATGACATTGGCAACAGAAGGGAATTTGAAAGATTTAAGAAGTTTCTAAAGGGAACATTAGGAGAGAGATACTGGTGGCTATGGATGGACATTGAGAGGTTAAAAGTTCTTAAGGACCCTGGAAGACATCAAAGGTATTTCCCTTTTTATTTTTCAATAGTTTAAAAAATAAATTGTAGAATATGTTTGAGTGTAATATTTAATGTTAAATATTAAAATGTACTTTATCATAAGGGATAAAAACAATGGTATTTATGATAATAAAGTTTTGATATCACAAGTTTCCTGACTTCATGGCTTGAAGATGCCAGGTGGAGAAGCAGACTGGTGGTTAAAATCACTCGCTGCTCTTGCAATGGACCCAGTTCCCAACACCCACATGGCGGCTCCCAACCATCCATAATTCCAGTCCCAGGGGACCGGTTGCCCTCTTCTGAACAGTATGGGTACCAGAAACATATGCAACACATGCATACATGCAAGCCAAACACTCAAGACACATAAAATAAGCAAAACTAATAAGATAAGTAGGATAGCAATAATAGTTATTTGGGAATAATGTTTCTTCCCATAAATTCCAGACATGCTCTAAAATTACTCTACTTTTTATAGTGTCATAATTTTATAAAAATATTATATGAAAAATAATTCATCAGTTATGACCACACTCATGGTAGACAGGGACGGATGCCAGTGTGTGGGCCTCTTGTCCCAGCAGCCTGCCTGCCTAACATATCCCATGGTCTTAGGTCAGATGCCTCGTGTCTGTCTGTCTGTCTGTCTGTCTGTCTGTCTGGAGTCTCTTCTGAAGGTCTGATGGGGCTCAGCTCTGCATTCGGCTGGTTCCATACGCTTCAGGTTACTGTGAGCATTCATCCCATCAGGACACTACTTTAAGAAAGTGGCTCCCTATCTAACCTGAAGCACCTGAGACTGCATTTCTTCTTAAGGGCGTGGTGGGGATTGGCGGGTGGCTCAGTTATTATAGTTATTAGAATAGTATTTAGGTCACAGAGCTTATGCTTTGAACAGGGCTCAAGCCGACTTGAGCAGTATTTATAAGACGTATCAGGAGAGCCATATGCGGGAAACCTTGGGACCAATACTTGGACTTGCATTGTCTCCATAATGAATTACCCACATTCAGTGACCTGAAGCAGCAGTTCTAGAGGGAATCTATTTCTCTGCATTTTCCAGTTTATGAAGGAAACTGCCTGTGTTCCTTTGTTTATGGCCCCTTCCTCTATCTTCAAAGCCAGTGGCATGGCATCTTAGCTCCTTTCTGATGTCCTCATGGCTCTGGCCACACGGTGTCTCCCATAGAAGGATTTCTGGCATTCCTTGGGGCTGGTGAGCCCCAGGGTGATTTCTCTCTAGTTCGTGCTTACCCACATGTATTGCATTTTTAAATTAACCATTATAGGTAACAAAGTTACAAATTTTAAAGATTTGGTTTACACATCTCTACAAGGCCATTCTAGCTTTTTGAGAAAAGCAAACACCCTGGGAAGTAATGCATGTCTACAAAACCCTTTAGTAGTCTGTAATGAGTGTTAGCCTGAGGTATTTATTGCTTGTTCAAAACATTTACCACGTGGGAGGTTGAACATTACATTGACATGTCTATAACTGTGCTTTCTCTAAGGCATCTTGAGAAAATGAAAAAATGCTACCTTGTGAGCAGTGGGGAGCGCTACCTTTCTACAGAAATCCTATCCAAGTTTAAGCTGCTGCACGGTTCCCGGTGGACAGAGGAACACTTGAAAAACATTCAGATTGAGGTGCTAAAACCTCTGCTTCTGTATTGGTAAGGAAAATCATGTGGGTAAAAGTTATTTCCCTCTACTTTCCTTAGGCTAGTTAGAAATAATACTTTTTTGTCTCATGGTTGCTTAAGTATGGAAACTTAAGTGACCAGTGTATCTTTGCCTTTCTCTGAAAAGCATTTACCTTTAGATGTTTGCTGTGCTGGTTTGAATGAGAGTGGTCCTCATAGGCTCATAGGTTTATATGCTTGGTCACCAGGATTGAAACTACAAAGATTATAATGATTAGGAGGCGGGGCCTTGTTGGAGGAAGTCAGGGTCAGTCCCTCTCTATCTCTCTCAGCCTGTGGATCAGGATGTAGCTCTCAGCTACTGCTCCAGAACCATGCTCTCTGCCATGATGAGAGTAGACTAACCTCTGACACTGTAAGCAAGCTCCCAGTTAAATGCTTTCTTTTGTTAAAGTTGCTGTGGTCATGGAGTCTCTTCACAACGATAGAACACTGACTACGAAGGTACTAAGAATGGGATGTTTCCGTGACAGAACTGCTCTTGCTGCTTGGGACTTTGGATTAGGAAGGAAGCTGAATGCTTTAAGCAGAGCTAAAGGGGCCATACTAGTAGGCGTGTGGAAGACAGTGGTTCTGAGAGTGTAGACTAAGATGGCCCTGCCCGAAAGGTTTCAGAGAGAAGAATATTAGGAAATAGCCTGGAGACTGTTCTTGTGATATTTTGACAAAGAATGTGGCTGCTTTTTGTCCTTGTCCCAAAAATCTGCCCGAGGTCAACTTGAAGAATTTGGATTAGTGTTGGTAGAGGAGGTTTCTAGACAGCCTGCTATTGGCTGTGCCATGTGGTTGTTAGGGGTCACCTGTACGCAGATCCATAATGAGAGGGAGTAAGCAGAAGAAAGGGAAATACAAACATACAGTTAGAGGAGGAAAGGGGAACCAGAAAGTGTGATGGAACTAAGTCCATGCTCAAGGAGATAAAAAGTTTGAAGAAAAGCCTGATGCTAAATGGAATAGCGGGAGAGGTGACTTCAGGGCAAGATCCCACCCAGCTAAGCTTCCAACTTGTGAATTAAAGAACAATGAGCAATGATGGAAATGATCAGCCTCAGAAAGCTAATGAAGATGTGGTTGAACAAGGAGGCCATATTCCAGTCCCAGTAAGCAGCAGAACTTGGCAGTGTCAGCCACATGGTTCTGGGCTTAGAGTTAAGGATAGAAGAAAAGGGCTGTGGAATTTCCTTCTGCAGCTCAGCAGAGCCACTGAGGCCAGGCATGTGTCAGGGGTGTCCCTGCGTGAAGGCCTAGAGAGGCCATTGTGCGAAGCCTGGATTGTGTTGGAGACCCCAAGATGTTATAGATACCAGAGTCCGGGGACACCTGCCCAGGACGGTTCAGACTGAGCACAGAACTGGCGCAAGACAGAGAAATAGGCTGAAGTCAGCAAAGCTGGAAAGCGTTGGAGATCTGCAGAGCACTTTGGCATAAGGCACGGAGAGCTGAGACACAAGTACTGTATTATCAAAGGGATGACCTTCAGACTGTCCAAGGACACTACAAAGGCCAACAGATGGGCCGAGTGCTCCAAGTGTACAGGGAAAAATATGTAACCTCCACTGAGTAAATGCAGGGGGGAAAGGCTAATGACACAACTGTCTGTGTGGGCATCCAGCCCAGCCAGGTGGTTATCACCAGGCTAAAGCTGGACAAAGACAGAAAAAAGACACTGGGAAGGGAAGCCAGGACTCAACAGCAGGAGAGGAGAAGGGCAAATACAAGGAAGAAACCATTGAGAAGACGCAGGAGTAGAGGGATCTCCTCCACAACTGTCATTAGAGACTGCTTAAAGAAAAAGAGAAAAGAAAATCCCTCACCCGTGTACCCACCCACCTGAGTTTTAGTTCATTCCAGATGTACTCAAGTTAACCAAAAATAGCCATCATAGTAGTACAGTATCAACATGAGTAAAGCCAACATTGATGTGCCTATCTTTTCCACATGTCATGAATCTTACATGCACTCGTTTCTGTGTGTTTATTTAGTGTGATGTTATTTGATCATTTATAGAGTCATACATGTCCTGCCAAAGTCAAGACATGCACAAGCACACCTTGTACTGTCAACTCAGCACCACACCAACCTCCTCCTCTCCTTCCTCCCCAACTCCCGGGAAACATCAGTACAAATTGTCTAACACGAAATCTTTGGGCACAAGCTTTCCAAGTTCAGCATAACTCTCTCAAAGTGTAGCCAAGCTGTGTGTTTCAACAATTTGCTCTGTTTTGTTCCCGAGTGGCTTATCCATTGTATGTATGTCCGTTCACTCATGGGAAAACATTAGAGGGTTGGAGAGAGTTGTTTATGGTTATACACACACACACACACACACACACACACACACACACACACACACATGTGCATGTGCACTCATATACAATCCTTGGTGGTTATCTGTAAGTATCTTCCGATCACAAGATCTTGAGACTAAAGACATGTAAAACCAGTGTGCATCATAGCTTGTATGATGATGGTGTCCGAGATGACACAGTACTGATTTAGAACTTGCCGTGGAGTGGAGTTCATAGAGTGGCTGGCTCATCAAAGATTAATGCTGGGAGTGGAGTAAGAGCCAGTTAGACGGTGAGGGCAGCAGAGAATTGTGGACCCATATGAATAGATTTTAATGTGAATCCAGAGACTAAGGTGTCTAGATTCCCTGGCTGCCAGGTGCAGCAGTCGGGAAAGGTCTTGGGGTATTGTGGACACTGGGGTGCTTAGACGGGATGCTCCCAGGTCTAAGAGTGGAAGTTCAGAAGCACACTCTGGAGTGGCCACACTGACTGCCGGGCTTTCTGTTGGGTTCTCTTCACCCCTAACAGGTCCACACTGGGAGCACCTTCCTGCCTCCCACTTTATAGGGAAATCGCTTTCTGCCAGTCTCCAGAGCGTGAAATAGGAATTAGTCCTCAGGCTTGCCATCAGGTGAAACCTGGTCTAAAGAACAATTTAGCCACAGGCCTGGCAGCTAGAGTTAGCTGTGAAAACCACAAGGGGCCCTCCCACTGCTGGCTACCAGGACACTCCTCCAATTGAGGGCCAAACAGTCTTTTCCTTGAGATTCTGAAGCAGAGTTCATCTTTCTTTTAGTAATTCTTACCTTCAAAGTATAAGACTTAAAAATATGTAAATATGAACTATAGCCTACTTTAGTAGCATTCTAAAATGTTTATTTCTTTAGCCAGACATGGTGGTGCACGTGTTTAATCCCAGCACTGGGGAGGTAGAGGCAGCTGGATCTTTTTGAGTTCTAGGCCAGTGAGTTCCAGGACAGCCAGAGATATATAGAGACCTTGTCTCAAAAAAAAAAATCAAAATTGAAATGAGATGTTTTTAATATTTTTAAGCATTAACTTTATCAGTTTTTATTTGATATTATAAATACCAAACTGCTTTAAAACTACCAGAACACATTTTATGTTATTTTTAAATTCCTTAATAGTTTTAGGTATTTCTTTTTTTATCAAGCAGGTAATAATTTTACTATTATGAGTTTTCTAATATGTATTACCTTTTCCTACTAGTGAATTAAATATAATAAAGTAACACATAGAAAAATATTTTTAAGGTAAACCAGCAGAAAAAGAAATAGAAAGTGACAGAAAGGACTAATAATCATGATAATGATGTGGCTTATAGGCTTTTGATTCTGAGATTTATCATCGTTCCATCTTCAGTTTGTTTTGCTTTTCAATAAACAGGGCACCAAGATTTTGTGTGACTCATTCACCTTCAACAAAAAACGCTAGTGCTGAGCTTAGATTCTGGCGCCTCCGTCAAGAGAAACCAAGGAAGGATATTGACCCTTTCCCACAGATGGCAACCCTCCTGCCATTAAGGCCAAAGTCTTGCATTCCACAGGTCCCTGAGGTCCAGGTAGGGTGTCCAGTGCTCGAACTGGTGTTTATTAACTGCAAGGTTGGTATTTGTCAACTGCTGTGGTCTGAATGTGAGCTACACCCTACAGGGTTACATGTTCGAGCACTTTTTGCCCCCACTTGGCACTGGTTGGGAAGGTTGTGGAACCTTTCTCTAGAGGTGCGGCTGTGTTGGAGGAGGTTTGTCACTGGGGCTGGATCCTGAGGCCTTATGGCTTTCTGTTCACATTCTGCTTCCTGAAGTGGACACAGTGTGATCTGCCAGCTGCCTGTTCCCACTGCCCTGCCTTCCCCACTTGCTGCCATGCCTTCCCTACCGTGATGGAGAGAATCATTCTGGAGCCATGAGCCCAAATATAACCTTCCCTTCCTTGAGTTGCCATTATTAGCTTAATCCATCAGAGCAATGCAAAACGACCAAGGCAGCCACTGACTCTGGAATCCATCACAAGCTTTTGCTGTTACAGTGTACACACCAACCACGGGTAGGAAGGAAGGGAAGGCCCCTGTGTGTTCAGGAAGCAGCGAGGTCCCTCTACACTTACAGACGTGCCACTGGTCTGCTGCAAGTTCTCTAGCGGCCTCCACCTCCACTTAGGATGAAATCTGGAAACCGCAAGGCCGCGGAGGTCCCTGCTAACCTCGCCACCTCATTCCCCCACATGCTCTGCTACTTACTCCAAACCAGCCACACTGGTCCCTTTCTTGTCCTTGGACGTCAAGTGAAAGCTCAGGGCTTGGCATTTTCTGTTCCCCCTGTTTGTTGTACCCCCTCCACAGCCACACACCTTCCCTCTCACAACCATTAGGTGGCAGCTCAACCATCACTTAGTGAGAGGCTGTGCTCCACAGGAGCGCTCACGTACAGATCACATATAAGGGTCTTCCACACTTATCTGTGCCCTTTGCCCTGCCTTGCTCTATTGTATTTGCAGCCACGTGATTCCTTCATTGATCACCTTTTACCTCCTTCTAGAATAGAAGGGAATTCTCCGTGTTGAGTATGTATCCCTAGAACAAGCTAGCATAGAACAGTCGCTTAGCAAACACAGTAGGAATTGAGTAGAAAGGCTGAAGGCAGCACACCAAAACCAGAGGAAGGGAGCTGGGCATAAGGCAAAGAATAAAGAGACGAGTGATGAGGGGAAATCTGGAGAAACAGGGTAATTGTAGGAAATAGTAAACTTACATATTCTGTCACATTGAGGTAGTGACCTCAGTGATAAAGGCCCTCACTCATCTTCACCACGTAAGGCTATCACAGAATATTCTGTTATTGGACATAGTCACACAAAACTGCCCCAGGACCGTTTTAGAGTCTGAATGTCTCATTTCAAAACCCAGCAAGTTATATAATACATTTTAAATGTTTGACTTCCATGCATAGTAGTTAAGTGCCTTCAGCAGGGTCACAGTTTTTCTTTCTCTGGTTTCAGAACTCCAGGCACACATTAGAAATCTCCCCAAGAACTTTTAAAGTCTGCCAGGGCCTGGGTCCCGACTTCACAGGTTGATGTAACTGGCCTGGAAAAGCCTGGAGTCCCTCTGAAGGCAATGAGTTGGCTTAGGACCCACATCCCCAACCCCACAAGAACATGAGAATTAGAGCCTTGCTTTAATAAAATTCCAGGTGATTTAAGCATTCAGCATTGCTGCTAACAGGTGGCTTTTAGTGTCACCTAAAGAACCTGTGCAGACCGAGACCCCTGGGTTTCACCAGAGATCAAGATTCAGTAAGACTTGCATTTCTAATTCCCTGGCCCAGTGACATTCTTGCTGCCAGACACCACCACACTCTCCACCATTTCCTCACCCATTTCCTCACCCCTCCCTTTTTATTTTTACTTTTTCCTGACCTGCTTTGCACCTCGAGACCCTACACACCTGGACACTTGAGTGTCCGAGTCAGCCCGTGCAGTTCAGTAACTGGGCTGTAGGTAAAGACGAGTCTTGGAGGCATGGCCCAGGGAGCGTGCCATCCAATGCTGTCTGTGACTGAGGTAAGCATTGTCAAATGGAGCAGTTGTGGAGGAGGAAAAGCCTAGGTCATATGTTAAGAAACTCCAGTGAGTGAGCAGTGTCTGGAGTGGGAGAGTTTGGTGTGTGTGCAACGTAATACACCAGGGTTGCCTGCCTCTCCCTCTCTAAGCTCTTCCCAAGGTGAGCAATGTCATCATGTAACGTGTTCTGATCCTGCCCCAAATGCTCTGTTGTCACTCCTCGGCAGAAAGTGATGAGCCGTAGAACTAGCCAGTTCAACATGGACTTTTCAGTGTGTAGTCCCACTAATTTGGCACACACAGTGAGTGAGCATTAACACACTCACAGTGAAGGGCGGTCCCTCTTCTGTGCTTAGTGTGGCTTGTTAGTTTTCCTCCATCATTTACTCTGTCTGTTCTTTTCATTTAAATTACATTTGTTTGCATTGTGTGTGTGTGTGTGTGTGTGTGTGTGTGTGTGTGTGTGTGTTTTCTGTGAGCGAGAATGTAATGCTACAGTGTACAGATTGGGGGTGTCAGAGGACAACTTGGGGAGTTGATTCTTTCCTTCCACTATGTGAGTCCCGGGGATGGAACTCAAGCTGGCCTTGAGTTGATGGAACTGTCAGGCCTGGCAGTGAGTACCCCTACCCACTGACCTCTCTGACTTTTTACAGCTGTCAGTCAAGCAACAAAGTTCAAGTTCAAAAACTTGAACTTACTGGCTGGCTCAGTGGTTAAGAGTACTGGCTGCTCTTCCAGAGGACCTGGGTTCAGTTCTCAGTACCTAGTTCATAACTGTCTATAACTCCAGCTCCACAGGGTCTTCTGACCTGTGAGAGCATGCACACCTTACACCACACTTAGAAAATAATGTATGGGCCAATATCAATACACAGATTATAATACATGGGACGAGGTTTTATAATATGGGTTATATATTTTGTTTGGGGAGAAGTCACTTACATGAGAAACCAATGCCCCACAAGTTCCTGCTCCAAGGATCCACGCCCAGGCTGCTCTCTGACCTGACTGGAGCCAAGAGAGAGAGAGAGAGAGAGAGAGAGAGAGAGAGAGAGAGAGAGAGAGAGAGGAAAGAGAGAGATGGGGTCCTGGACCCCACACCTAGCCTTCCTCCATCCCCAAATGGACATGGTCAGTGCAACAGGAGCGGCTAGCGTGGATATCTCACTACAGACCAATGGTGATGTACACCTTAAATGCTAGCATTTAGGAGACAGAGGCAGGCAGATCTCTGAGTTTGAGTCCAGCCTGATCTCCATAGTGAGTTCTAAAACAAACAGGTCTGCATGGTAAGTTGCTGCCTCCAATAAGTAAATAAAAATGATTCTGAAGTATGAGGGCTACTCTGCCTCCCTCCTCCACCCTGAACCCTGGAAGCTACTGTTCTATTTTCTGTTTCTATATATTTAACCATATTTACATACTATATATTTAATTATAGGCTCAGGCTCTTATAGTATTTCTCATTAACAGTTTTTTAGTACCTAAAACTGCACATGCTTTGTTCGAGACAGGGACTTTCTGTGTAGCCCAGGCTGGCCTTGAACTTGTGACCTTCTTGCCTCGGTCTCCCGAGTGCTGGGATTACAGACAGGCACCACATGCCCAGCCTTAACCTGAAGTTCCATCAGTGAAGAGCAGCTTTGCCTGTTTCCTCAGCCCCAGTGTCTTTACCCTCGATGACTCATCTTCCCTTTTGCTAGTGGCCCCCGCCCTACCCAACTCCCTATTGTTCCTCCAAGGTCTCTCTTGGGTCTTTCCTGAGAGCCCCAACTGCCCTGGCACAAATCTACCTCAGACTTTGATAAAACTATATTTTGTTAATTTTGAATTCATGGTATTTTGTTTGCATGTATGGCTATGTACTGTGAACATGCTCCATGCCCACAGAGGCCAGATGAGAGCTTCCAATCCCTCGGTACAGGAGTTACAGACAGATGTGAGGTACCACATGGGTGCTGGGAATTGAACTCAGGCCCTCTAAAAGTGCAATCAGTTCAGAGCAGCTCATAACTATCAAGCCATCATCTCTCCTGCTCCTACCATTAGGAACTTTTAAGAGTGGGAAAAATAACTATAAACATAAAATGTCCCTAAAAGGAAAGACAGTACTATTAGGTTAGAGATCCCTTGCTCCAGCTGAGCAAATATCCTTGTTTTATTTCCCTGCCCCTCCATTGTCTGGTGCTCTCCTATACAAATTTTAAACCTACCCTGCTCCAGGAGAAGGGATGGCTGCCAAATTCCTTTCCCAGGAAGGAGTCTGCCTCCATGGTCCTGGAAGTAAGGACCTAGCCAGTCTCTGGCTCTGTGTATCTCCTGAGTTGCTATTGTATCTTACTCTGCCTGTCTCATAAAACCTGTGTGTGTGTGTGTGTGTGTGTGTGTGTGTGTGTGTGTGTGTGTGTGTGAAGTAAGCAGTTCTATTTCAATGGGGTGTTTAGTAGGCAGTAGAGTGAGGGTTGAAATCTAGAGATTAAAACTAGCTTGAGATGTATGTGCAGAACTTTATTCTCTGTTTTCGTTTTGCCCATTTTCCATTTCATTATCTTCTCACTTTTTAGGGAGATGAAATTGGTTTATTTCATCAATCCAAATCTCCTAAGAAATTGTCAAGAGTAAGCGAAGGGATTCAAAAGTTGGGGAGGAGCGAGTCCCTGCATCCAGTCTCATCTAAGGATGATGGTCTTGAGAAAGGGTAGGTGCAGTCTTTTTAATGTTACGTGCTTTAGATTACTGGTTTGCGATATGAATTCTTAGGACTCAGTAGTATGTTTCGAGGCTCATGACTGACCTGCATACTTTAAGTTAGAAGAATTCCAGAGAGTAATACATTTGAAGAGATAGTGTCTGGTTCCAGCCGTAGGCGGGACTTCTAACTGAGGAGGACCTTCTAATACTTATTTGGCTCTGTTATAATCTGCTTCCTCTCAGGTTTGAGGACCCGTAAGACCCCGAAGAGCACTGGCGCCATTTAACACACTGCGCTGTCTCTCTACTTTGTGTTTCCTCACTTTATATTGTTCTGGATTTCCAGTGGGATTTTTTTTTTTCTCTTTACCCTGAAGAATATCCTTGGATATCAGCTTTGAACAATTCTGTGTTTAGTAATTTATTGTTTGACATTGGTTCTTTTATACTGAAGTAACATTCTTATAACAATGAAGTTAGCAACTCAAATAACGTTAAATGCATACAGCGTGGTTTTCAGAGTTCCTGGACATTGTCCTGCCTTCACCACTCAATAGTTCCTGCACCTCCTACATATGCATGCATGGAGGTACAGTCAGAATTCCCAGTTCCTTGAGGCACTACAGTTGTCTGTTAGGAGTTGTAGGATTGAGAGTGACATCTTTATGACACTGTCGCCAGCACGATATGTTCTACCTTTGATGTGCAGATAGACTAGAAATTGGATTTATCCTCACTGAAGTTGAACTTTTCACTTGAGAGCCATTTTACATTTGTTTTCATAAATGCTGCCCTCAGAAGCAGGAAAAATAAGATTGGAGGAGGGAGATGACCATTTCAGTTATAGGAAAAGCCTCTGTGTGGTACAGCAAAACATCTAATGTTAATATGTAGCACATGGTGTATATTTAGTTAGTATTAAATGAACATGTTAATATAATGCTCGTGGGGGACCCCAGTGGATTCCATGGCAGGCGAGGGTGACCGAGGCGGAGGGACAAACATGCCAGGCGGACAGAGCTTCGTAAGAAGTTTTATTAGAAAGGGGAGGGAGGGGAGGAAAGAGAAAAGAGGTAAAGAGACACAGAGACAGAGAGGACAGAAGAGAAGAGGGACAGGAAGAGTCCGGTCTGCCCCAGGGGAGCCTCGGGGAAGAGAGAGGGAAGGAGAGAGGGGGGCAGGGGTCTATCCTTTAAAGGGGTCCTTTGCACCCATGTACAGACTACTTAGCCATGGAACCCTGGGCTGACCAGGGCACTGCCCAGTGCGTTCTGCCAGGTGACAGGGGCAGGCCAGCATAACGCCTGAGTCCTTACAGAATGGATGTAGAGTTTAAATTTCTCCTGATTGGCTGAGGCAAAAGTGTATTCAGTTCCAGATTATTCACATCCTTGCCAACAAACAACAGCAACAACAACAAATGTGTTACCATAATAAAAGTGTAAGATATGCTTGAGATATTTGTGATCAAAACACTTGAAAGAAGGGTGTGGAGCTGAGGAAAGTACAAGAGGAAAGTGAGTTACTGGGCGGCTATTAAAGGCAGAGTGAGCAAGAGAACAAGAGACCCAATAGGATCCGAGGCGACACACATACAGAGCATCGCAGTGTTGTGAAAGACAAAATAGTGGGAGTTTTAAGTGAATGTATTGCAAAGTGGGTGAGCTAAAGGCTCAATTTTCCATGACAAAGTGATTGACTGCAGGCCAGAGAGTAATACCTGGAAAATTATTTTGAAGTTGAAAATGAATCAATTAGTATAGATCACCCTTCTTTTAACTTTTATTTTGAGAGGAGTGTAGTTTGCACATTATTGTCTTTAAGGAAACTGAGCCAGGAGGGGAGACCTGTTATCCCAGCTGTTTGAGAAGCTAAGCAGGCAGTCAGGTCCAGTCTGGGCTGCCCAGGGTGTTCAAGAAACACCTGGGCTTCAGACGAGACCGCGTCTCAAAGTAAAGAGCAAAAACACAGGGCTGAAGACGTGGCTCAGGGGCTAAGAGCAGGCGTTCTTCTTGTTAGGGGGCCCAGTTCCCCACACCCATCTTTAACTCCTATTGCAGGGATCTGAGGCTGTCTTCTGACCACATCAGAAACCAGGCTTGCTTGTGGCATACATCCATGCAGGAAAATTCACATTTAAATCACCAAGTTTTAAATAAATAAAAAACAAAACCAGGCAAGCATGCATCTTTTTGTTACCATGTTTATGTCATATGCATGAGATGTAGAGTTCAGTCCTCAATGCTAAGGTCAGGATTGGGGAATCTGGAATAACTATAGTGTCAGAAACAGGAGAGTGACATTCATGCCATGCTGGTGGCAACCACAGTGTGACCTTTTAGACTTTATTCCCACAAGAGCTGTCCAAGTCGCTGCATGTATCCACTGCTTGTTCCTGTAATGCAGTGTAATATTCCATAGGTTATTCTTTTTTTAATTGCACATACCTCGGCGTGGTGGCACATGTCTATTATCCCAGCTCTCAGGATGTGAGGCAGGAGGATGGTAGGTTTTAAGCCAACATGGCCTACACGGTAAGACCTCATCTTAAACACTAAAAATGAGATACGGAGATAGAAATAAGAAAAACCGGTCAACATTGCACAACTCCTAGCTGTCCCAGTGGCTGACCTGGTGTGGAGCCTGCATCTGAACCGGGCTGCTCTCAACTTTGATTAGAGAAGTTTCTTTCTCTTTGACGTAGCCAGTACAGAGATGCATAGCTGCTCAGCCCTACAGAGGATGTTTATCAACCCCCACCCCAGATGCAGAACACCGGGAAGAGGAGGCAGAAGGAATGTAAGGGCTGGAGGGTGGGGAGGAGCATGGCCTGAACTCACACCAGCAGTGGTCACATGATCAAGCCAGCCACAGTCCCCCACATAGATGAAGGAGGTGGTCACCAGTCTCTGCCTTCCTTGAAGAACTATTTTCAGTTGAGGCTGCTGAGTGGGGGTGGGGATCGTCTTTGAAGGTGGACACTCCATGTACACAAGGACAGTCCTAAGTGGACTTAATAGGGGACAAAGAAGATGTGAGTGGTGAGGGGGGATGGGGGGACCGCTGAAGAAGATAAATGGAAGGTGGACATGATTGTATGTCATAGTGTACAAGTATGTAATCTGCAGAGTAAATAAATATATGTAATAAAATGGATGGCTTTTGTTGATTAATCTACGTCTTTGAGAATTTTAAACATTTACATTATTGGTTTCAGATTTGTTTGAGCACAGTAAAGCACTTTGTGTACTAATTATTTAAAAGAGAGAGAAAAGAATAGCATGCCAGGTGTGGTGTACTCTGGGGCAAAGGCAGGTGGATCTCTGAGTTGGAGACCAGCCTAGCACTCTGTACACAGTGACTTTGTTTTTTGTTTTTTTGTGACAGGGTTTCTCTGTGGCTTTGGAGCCTGTCCTGGAACTAGCTCTTGTAGATTGGGCTGGTCCTGAACTCACAGAGATCCACCTGCCTCTGCTTCCCAAGTGCTGGGATCAAAGGCGTGTGCCACCAACACCAGGCTAAATAAATATTTTGGTTTTTTAAGGCTATTTTGAATGAAATGTTTTGTTTTTGTTTTGGCCATTGTTAGAGTGCAGAAATAACTGATTTTTGTGAGTTCAGTTTATATCCTGTAGAGACCGTGTGTTATCCAAGAGTAAAGACAATTTTAACACTTTTCTCCAGTAGGGACACCCTTTGTTTCTTTCCTCGCCCTTACTGTCCACAGTTTCGCCGTCAAGTCAGATAGCGACCGTGTTTCTCATCTAGGCTTTAACGCCCTGAGAAAGTTCTCTGACACCACAGATTGACAGCACTCATGTGTGTTAACTGATCAGTTTGTTCTCACACCTGTAACCTAGGTCAAAGTGGCTCTCAGAGGGCAGCACAGTATTTCCCTTGACGTCTTTCACCGACATCTCTGAATGTCTGAAGCCCCAGCTGGACAGAAAATATACTTACACAGAAGAGCTTAACGTAAGTGTTTTAAGGACCAAATAGCCACGTTCCTCATTTAATCAACCAATGTCCCTAATTTTAGGGATTAAAAAGCTTATTATGCTTTTTTCTCTACTAAACAACAAAGGAATTTCCCACAAAGTCTTCGCCTGTGTTTCTTTTTATATCATTGCTCTGCTCGTCCTGTATGGGTCTTGATTGCTGTTTCTCTTCTCTGTTCTCTCCTCCCCTCTCTCCTCCCTCCTTCCCTCCCCCCTCTCCCTTCCTTCCTTCCTTCTTCTCCTGACTGTCTAACAAGGCTGGCCTCAAACACACAGAAACCTGCCTGCCTGCCTCTGCCTCCTATGTTGCTGGTGATTACCCTTTTCAAAACCAGTTGTTTTGGAAACAACTGATGTATTGATGCTACTTCAGACACAAAATAAGACCCTTTAGTATTCTTGTTCTGTTTTGAACTCTTAATTAAAATAACACTGGATGTCATATCTTGGAAATCTTGAGGTTTTTTTATGAAGACAGAGTGTCTTAGGGTCTCTAATGCTGTGAAGAGATACTATGACCACCACATCTCTTCTAAAGGAAAACACTTAATTGGGACTGGCTTAAAGTTTCAGAGGTGCAGTCCATTAGCATCATGGTAGGACATGGTGGCATGCAGACAGACATGGTGTTGGAGAGGGAACTGAGAATGGAGAAGAAGCTACATCTTGATCCACAGGCAACAGGAAGTGGTCTGAGACACTGGGCATGACTTGAGCATATGAGACCTCAAAGCCCACCTCCACAGTGACACACTTCCTCCAACCTACTCCAACAAAATCACACCTCCTAATAGTGCCATTCCTAGTGAGCTTATGGGGAGCCGATTAAACTACCCCACTGGGGGTTCCAGAGTGCAGCTACTTTGACAGCAAGGGGAATTAGATGCGAGACTTAGATGAAGATCTCATGTCCTCTGAGAATTCTACCAATGTTATCTGAATACTGTTATGTTTTTGCATACTTCTTTTATTTTAAGTAAATAGTTCTCCTTTTCTACCAACAAGGACATTTTCCCTACTAAAATAAGGATATTTTAGATTCAAATGCTTTTAGTTAGCCATTAAAAACAAACCAACATTATGCCTCTGCTCAGAATTTGTCTAGTAGGCAGAGACAGTGTGATGAAGAGAGTAAAAAGCCTTGCTCAAACCTGTCCCCACCGTGTTTGTCTGGGGAGCATGAAGAAGTCAAAGCCCCATAAACAGCGAGTTTGCATGAACGACCCATCTCTGGGCATATTCTGGAGTCACTTGTACGACTGAGAAATAACCAGCTCTCCGTGTGTCAAGGATGCTATTAGGATTGCTAGCATTGTTGGCAGAGAAGCCATAAACAGCAGAGTTTTATGAGAACTTCATTGCCATTTCCACTCTGAAGGCCATGACCTGTGGGGGTGAGACTGTCCAAAGAGGGACTCCCCCCCCAGTTAACAAGCAGAGCTGAGAGGCCTTGAGGTGGGTCTTTTTATAACCCACTCAGAGTTAGAATAGCAGCACCTCAAGGCTAAAATAACAGTAAATATGTAGGAAACAGGCCACCAACGGAGACTTGGAAGGCTCCCCAATGGAGCCACTGCGCACGAAACATGAAAGTAATTGAGGTCAGAGAGCTGCTCTGACATCGGGCTTGAAATCACACTGGTTTATAACAGAGTGGATTCTCTGGCCATAACTGAGTTTCACAAATGAATCCTACATGACAGCACACTGCAGTCATTACATATATGCCACACAAAGACAATGACAGCCCAGCAGCATTTTTGAAACTGCATTGTGCCGGTGGGGATAACGAACTTCTGTTTCCTGTCTTGTTATCTAGGTTAAAGCTGCTTCACGTGTTGGAGCCTTGGGAAGCTTTGACATGGAAAACTTGTTACAGTCTTTGTATGTTGAAAACAGAGCTGGATTCTTCTTCACTAAATTCTGCGAGAATTCAGGGAACAAGGTAGAAAATAATTATGTAAAATCTGGATTTATTACTTTACTTGATTTAAAAATAAGTGGCATTGAAATAACTTGGTGTTCATATAAATAATGTTCAAATTCTCATCTGATAAATGAAATCCACACTTGATATTTAGTAACTCTTTAACAATCCAACCAAATGGTAATTCTCTCTGGCTTACCACCCTACTAAAATTACAAAGAAAAGTAAAAAAACCAAATAAATATTAACATATATTACTATAGTTAATTATATAATCTAATATCAATTTAATATGCCATATTTGGTTAATTTCTATTTATACTTGATTCATAATACTTTAGCAACCATAAATTACAATCAATAAAAATAAAATAATTTCCAGTAATTTTTTTACATTACAATCAATATTTGTATGACCCAAATATAAACAGTGATTAATTGGCTTAGTAGTTAATATTTAGGTGTGCTATGATACCCATTTACCTATAATGTCGATATGTTGGAACACCTTTAGATTATACTTTCATGCCTTTAGATTGCTCTTTACTTGTCAACTAGAACGCTTGCAATTTTTGTATTCATCACTATTTTTAAACATTTACCGTTTTAATGACTAATTCTAAGGGAGACTTCCATGCAAAAATACAATGTTCAATTGACAACAGCCATAAATCCCTTGTACATTGCCAATCTGTGGTAAAAGACTGAGACCAGCTTGAGCTGGGCATGATTTGCAGTAGCAGCAAGGACGTAGCACATAGAGACACATAGGGAATTAGCTCTCTGAGGGCCTCGCTGACTGGCTGTGATGATTTCTGTACTTCTCCATCCACAGCTGTGGAAGCACAGTGTGTACTTTTGGTTTGACCTACAGGCTTATCATCAGCTGTTCTACCAAGAAACACTTCAGCCTTTCAAAGTATGCAAACAAGCCCAAGTAAGTAGCAGATAACACTGCTCCATGTAAAGCTGCGAGTATGCAGGGGGAAAAAATTGTGTCTGGCCCCAGACTAGAGAGAGCTGGGTTGCAGGGCTGAGACCATTACCCCAGGAATACTTCACGGTTTAAAATCTGATCTGTGTGTCTTCTGTTTTATCTGCTCTATTTTCTTTTCTGGCCAACTACTTGTTTTTCCCACAAAGAACGCCTGGTCTCCTTCCCCCACCAGCGTGCCTTTTGGGTTTGCCTGTCGGGACTGGAAAGAACACTGTGAGTGGATGTGTAAGCGGGGACCAGGAGCCACAGCTCTGGCTGGAGTTCCCTGAGCCCCCTGCAGATGTCAGCTGTTGGATGTGCCAGGCTGCTGGCCCATCACCGTGCATGTGCAGGGCCCAGTGCAGGCGTCTGGGTTTCCATCTATGCCATATGAGACAGACTGAGAGGGCGGAGGAGAGAGCATTGCAAGACCACCCTGAAGCAGAACAGGGAAGGGATAACAAGAGCAGAGAGGCTGGAAGAGGAGGAACAGAAGACCCTCTGCACATGGGGACAGAGCAGAGAGACAGCCTCTTGCAGGGGGCAGTGGCCAGGGGTGGATGGAGATGGGAACAGAATTATGACTTGAGCTGACTTTTGGGGGTTTTATTCTTAGGCTCTTCAGATCTTTTAAGGAGTAAGGGCTCCAAGATTAGACCGCTTCTCTATCTGTTGATCACTTGGTAATTCTTATAGCCCCAAATAACCCATCCCCGAGGATCCTGCCCCCAAATGCCGCTCAGGGAGTTAGTGTCACCATGTTATTTATTATTTTATAGTCTTGCTCAGGACACCAGAGTGCACTGCTGGATGTCTGGCTGCTCCCACCCCACCCCCTCAAGTCCAGAGTGAGCAGCTATGCTTTGTAGCCCAGTGACAGCTTTGTTCTTCTTGCTGTGAGAATAAGGGCTGTAGCTCCGACATAGCCCAGATGTCTCCATGAAATCATGAAATGAATCTCTACCAGGGCCGTTTTCTGAGACCACACAGTTCTGCTTGTTAACCCTCTACCTGTAATTCACTGTTTACCCTCCTCCCCTAACCCATTGCCCCCATCTGCTGTGGGACCATCTGTTATTTTTATTATGTTTTTACTACTCAAAGAATCCTCCTTCAAAAAGTCTTCAGCTGCCCGGTGAAGTGGGATTGTTTGTGTGTTAATAATCAACCAGATTTCATACACGTATGAAGAAGGAGGTTCTATTCCAGCTTCGCAAGCCTCCTGGTTCTTAGCAATGCTGTTATTAGCTAACTCTATGTATGTGGTTTGGAAACTGGACTATGTATGTGGTTTGGGTTGTTTTAAAAATGGATAGCTCAATTTGGGGATTGCCAGGACCTAGAAGCTTTCCCCAAGGTTTGTTCTTTGGGAGTCAAGGCAGGAATCAGAGAAGCAGACCAGTATAGAGCACCCATCTTTAGGACTGAGTAGGGGGAAATAAACGGAGAGAATTCATATGATTTTTTAAAAAATGCATTTTAATATTGTACCTATAATTGTTTTACTTTTTTATTCTTGGTAGGAGGAACTACTATCTCAACTAGTTTGGGTTTTATTATGCAAAGTTTTTGTTTCTCCAGATATAGGAATTGCCTGTGGTATCTTTGTATTATTCATTTGTTTTACAGTATGAAATAACATTCACCTTATATGGCAATAGAAATATTGTATGGCTTTCTTCAAAGATTCATTTTTAATCTAGGTCTTTGGAATAATGCCACCAAGGGAATATATTCATCTGCCACTACATGTTGAATGTACCATGAACTTGATTTTATATCATTTTTGTGTGCCTGCCAAATCACACACTAAGAGACTAAGAGTTGATGCCCAAGGCCCTACATGATTTTCTGTATGCATAGTTTTATTCTCCCAAGCAGCAGTATAAGAATGGTAGTAGACAGAGTAGATAGGGGAGAGCCAATGGTAAAGATTTAGCATGACTCATGAGCCCCAAAGTTTGATCTAATGTACTGGGCATGCCGTGAGGATTTCCCTGCATAACTTCAAGAGAGTATAGTGAACGGCTGGAAAGGAACTATGGCCGTGGCATTGTGCAGGTACAATCCCTGCCTCTAGAGGGCCGCACAGCACTGATTGGCTTTGGAGACTAGAGTCTGCCCGTCTCTTCACTTTGCATGCTTGCTTTAGTGAGAGGACTAAGAGCAGAGTACTGCGCCTCCTGTGACTTTGTGTTCTTACCTTTCTAAGAAAATTCATGTTGCAATAGGAGCTGCACTTAGAATCTACCACCCTCTCTAGCACAGATATTGATATTTTTAAATATAACAAATATATATAATAGATGCATGTTAGATATGCTTATAAAGATATATGCATGTTTCCCATTCTAGCAGTGGTGGGCCTGGGAGAGTGGGGCCAATATGAGGTGGACTAAAGTCTCATGCAATAGCCAACTCTATTCAGAGCATCAGACAGTTTGTACTCTGAGGGTTAAGAGGAGTCACATGAGTAAAAAGTACAATCCTAAGAACAAGCCACACGTGGCAGACAAGCTACATGCAGCAAAAACATGTTTTTCCATAGAGCTGACCAGTTGTAATGAATAATCTGAATTAAAATCACACCTATCTGTTACGGTAGGGAGGGACACAAAGGCACAATCCAAGACCAATTCCACGAGTTTGAAGAAGCCGAGGCCACAAGACTCTTGTCTTGGTTCCTTAGATTTTTCTCACAGGCTCTCAGAAATCACCTATCATGGCTTCATTCCTGGACAATGTTCTCACATACACACACACACACACACACACACCAACATACATTAGATTCAGGAAAAATAAGAAACAGAGCTAGGGATTAGGCTTATTGGCAAGAGCTTGCCTAGCATGTGTGAGACCCTAGGTTCAGTCTCCAGCACTATAACAAATATGTAAAAATTAAGTTTGTAAAAAAGAAAAGAAGGCAGTTAAAGCAAGATCACAGATCTCATTTGCCTGAAAATGTCCATTTTATTCTGATGATTTGTCTCACTATAGACTTAAAGACTCAATGGTTTTGTTTGTACATATTTAGTCTATAATAGCAGATACAATTGTGACACTCCCGTAAATGCATATCATGTATTTTGACCATATCCACCCTCACTCCCCTGTCTTGTCCCTTCCATCTCCATCGATTCCCTCCTTCCCCATCATGGACCGTTTCCTCTCAGCCCTGTGGAGGTGTCAGCGTTCACATGCAGCTGTTGAAGAATCTGCTGCTTGCTGTTCTTGTAGGATGTAGGATGCTGTTTCTCACTTACTGCCTTACAGTCTTCCCCTGACTTTAGACTTCTGGGTTTGACTCTAGGGTGCTTGCCACCATGATCTCTCTTAGGCTTTGCAAGTTCTGGGCAACCCTCAGCTGATACTTCTTGCAGTGTTTACATGTGGGCATTCTGTCCTGTCCTGGATTCCCTACCTCAACCCTGCTGGTGCTTTGTAATAGATGTTGTTTTCATTTTGCTATGCAACCCACCCATTTAGTTAAATTATATTTTTTATCCATAAGGCTTTTGTTCTTGTTTTTGTTTTTTGACACAATATAGTCTTGGCTGGCCTAGAATTTACAATGTAGAACCCTTAGAGATCTGCCCACCTCAGCTTGGGATTAAAAGCTGGTACCACCATGCCCAGCTATGATTTTTATTCTTGAACGTTATATTTGTGTTTTACAACTCTCATTGGCATTTCCTTTTGTTCCACACTTTTTAAAATTTCTTTGTTTGTGTTTTTAATCATTTAGAGCATGTGCTATTAGCCTCTAGCTGTATTAGTTATTCCTGCATGACAGTTCTATCACAAACTCTGTGGCTCAGAACAACACACATTTGTTCTATCAGTTTTTGTGGGCCAGGATTCTGGGTGTGGCAGTTCTGGGTTCTCTGTGGTCAAGACTGGGTAGTTTCCCCCATGGAATCAGCCTGGGGAAGGGTCTGTTTTAATGCTCATGTGGTTGTTAGTAGCATTCAGTTCCTGGCAAACCCACCTCACTGAGAACTTTTGCTGGTTGTGAGCCAGAGGCCGTGCTCAGAGCTGCATCATGTTTTTCTCTGGATCAATGCGACAACTTGTTTGTTCATTCAGCCCAAGGGAGAGAGAGTCCCCTAGCAAGGTGGGCATTCCCTTTTCACATGACTGTATGCTTGTCTTCACACACACACCACTCTATTGCTACTGGTTAGAAGCAAGCCATACAGTATGTCCATACCTGGGGTAAGGGATCAAGAGAGGGCATGACAGCTAGGCGTGGTGGCAATGCTCTTTGAGGCAGAGGCAGGTGGATCTCTGTGAGTTCATGGCCAGAATGGTCTACATAGGGAGTTCTAGGAGAACCAGAACTACATAATGGGTCCCTATCTCAAAATGAGAAGGGGGCAGGGGGAGGAGAGAAAGCATGGATATCAAAGCCACTGTGTTTCTAGGGTCCACCCTAGAGGCTGGCTGCCACATTGTTCAATAATTCTATGATCTGTGGTTCTTGGAAGAACTCATTTTTAGTTCTGCTGACACAGTGGATTCTTCTCTTGTATGTTTAGTAATTTTGAATTATGAGCTCTTTACTGCATTTGTGTGTGTGTGTGTGTGTGTGTGTGTGTGTGTGTGTGTGTGATTCTTCTGCTGGGCACATTTTAAATGCTAATTTCTTATCTTGGAGAAATGTGGAAGCAGACAAAGTGTGAACTGGAAATCCAGGCTCATGCAAGGGGAAAACAGTAACAAATTCTCAGGGAAGGCAATTGCTTTTCTCTTGCAGTAAGCAAGGTGGTATCGGGCGCTTGGGTTTTGTTCCCTAGGCTCAATAGGTAGAAAGAATCTTGTACACGGTACTTACTGCGGCTGCTAAAAAAGAAAAGCGTGTGACTTGTGTTTTTGAGACTCTCTTTCTGGTGTGTTGCCGCTCAGATGATTTGAAAAGCCTCCTCTATATATACAATTTCTAGAAAATATAACAAACA